TGAAGAACATATGGATTATAAGACTTTCAACACTCATTTTAGCTCTAGTTTTAGCTTGAAAGATTCTATAAAATACAACTCCAGACCACAGGCAGTGGTGTGTGCCTATAATCCCACCACTTGGGAGGCTGAGGTAGAAGGATTACAAGTTCGAGCCCAGCCTGGGCAAGCCTGTCTCAAAATTATATGTATATATATATATATATATATAGGCTTAAGATATAGCTCAGTGCAAAGGGCATTTGTTCAATCTTAAGTATCACCACCACACACACAGAAAAATTCTTCAAGAATTGCATTTTTTTTCTTTCACTGCACTAAAGCATGAGAAATGAAACAGACACTGTCAAGTTAGTGAACTCCCTGAGTATTTTTCAGGCAGAGCTTTTAGTAATATGCAGGCCACTTGGAGTCTCACCACATTGAAACAATGGGCTTCAACATTCACCTCTGCTCTTAATTGTTTGAGTAATAGACACTTTAGTAGAGTTGGCTGGTGGAAATACTTATATGAGGATAATATTCCAGGCCTTATCTCGAAGGAAGCAGGCAAAGGCCTAGGCAAAGAATAGAATAGTGAGGAGATGCCACTTGGCAGCTGCTGTGACTTAAAATGGGTAGAGATGCAGGATGTGGAAAGAATCCACAAAACTAGGCCTAGGTATGACCTTCTGAACTTTTGTATGACCTACAGTTTACTTCATGTTCAAAACACATTTTCTTGTATGGGTAGAAAAATGGTCAGGAAAAGGAATTATCGCAACATTCTATTTTTGTTGATTGATATGTAGAAATACAGAAACACGCATATTGCTTAACAATACAAATAATTTGCACCTGAAATTCATTTGCTTAGTCCCTTGGAGACCTACAGAACAAAATGTTTGTAACAAATACAGCTGTGCTGGCGATACTATTGAGTTAGAGAAAACAAAAAGTTGGTTTCTGGTCCAAGGAGCTTATAGTCCAAAGGAAGTCAGGGAGGAGTTTTAAGAAAGCTGGCTTCCACTTTGGGTTTGCTGTTTTTCAACTGTGCGCTGCACTTTTATGTTGGTGTAGCTTTGTTCTTGCTATTGTTTAAAGCTGGAATGCCTGTTCTCACCAGCCATCCAAACTTAGCTTTCAAGGCCCCACTTAAATGTCACTTCTGTGGAAAGCTTTCCCTATCTCCTCCCACCCAGTCAAATGTCTTTCCCACCCTGCTTTGCACTTCTGCAGTCCTTTTGTTAGCTCTTGATTACGGTATCCAAAGCCATTTATATTACAGTTAGTTGTGCTTGTAGCCTCTGCTTTATTCATCAAACTATCTCTCCAACCACTTCTAGGAGGACAAAAGAAATCTGGAAACAGAGGAAAATGTTGTTTAAATAATTTAGTCATTCAGACAATATGTTAGTTCAGACAATATGTCAAATATATGTTCCTTCAATCTCCAAAACTTTGCAGGCAAAATGCCTCCAAATTTACAGTAATGAGTACAATCATTATTCTTGGAAAAATATTTAAATGAAAGTTTCCCTGTGTTTCTAGGTATTTTTGAATGTTTTTAATATGATACTATCTTCCAAGGGCGTTCTCAATAAATTTTTGTTGACTCTCTGCACCTCTTTTTTCTCATGTGTAAAATGGGAATACTATCTGCCCTATCATGTTTCGGGGGATATCACAAGGGTAAATGAGGAAATGACTATGCATAAAGTTAAAGCAGTATAGAAATGCAAAATGTTGTTCTCATTAACAATTGGAGGATTTACTTTGTGTCCATATTGTAGCACTTGAGTGTGCAGACTTTGGCTAACCCCATTGCAGCTGCATTTTAAAGAAGATTCTCCATGAGCTGCTTAACAGGAGAAGCCAAAAGTCTTGATTACAGCTTAGGGCCCTGCCACAGCCATCAAAATTTACCAAAGGGCTGCTGGGACTTCAAGTTTGTTTCCAATTGTGCAGGAGGAAAGTCATGGCCTTAACCACCTGCTTCCTGTCTCCATCATGACTCACACCTTTCAGGTCCACTTGGATGGAAGTTCAGATGAGACCTGCTCAGGCCCACTGCCCAGGGATATTGAAGGTGCTAAGGCTCATGAGGCTGTGCAAAAAGAGGAGTATGAAGCTGGGACCTGTGACCCAAGGGGATTGAGAAGAGGTCACAAGACACATTTTAGCTTATTGAGAAAAATTAGTTCAATTGTCATTACTAGTGGTGTAAATATGAGGCTATTGCTTCCTGATAGGATGCATGGAGAGGGATGTAACATTCATATGATCGTCCTGCCTCAAATGTAGACCCTGAATCAAATCACAAGGAAGCATCAGACAAGTCTAAACTGAAGGACATTCTACCCAGTAACTAGCCTGTACTCTTTACTTCAGTAATATACTGTACTGAAAGATGAAGAAAGTCTCAGAATTTTGCAGGTAAAGAGAATTAAAAAGACACTGTAACTGAATGGAATGTATAATACTAGATTAGATACTGGCAAATAACATAAATGAGGTGATTGGCAAAATCTAAATGTGGACTGTAGAATATTTGATAGTATTCTGTCAGTGTTACACTTCCTGATTTTGACACTTATAGCATAGTTATGAGAAAAAATGTCCTTGTTCCTAGGAAATACATACTGAAGTATTTAGGGGTAAAGGGGCATGCTGTTTGCAATTTAATCTCCAATGTTTCCAAAAATAGTAAAATACAATGTAATTATATATATATATATATATATATATATGCATGCGCACACAGAGAACATAAAAAAATAAATGGGGCAAAATACAAATAACAATACAGTCTGTATAAAGAGAATACAGAAGTCTTTACTCCTGCCACTCTTCAGTAAGTTTGAAATGGTTGAAAAATAACAAGTTTTAAAAGTAGAATATTATACCAAAATCTGTTTATTTTATTCTAAAAGTGTGCTCTAGAAAATGGTATAGTTTATTACTTGATGATGTTTGTTTTCTTAACTGTCTTCAGAAAGAGTAATTTTTAAAAAAATGAAATGATAAGCTGAAAATTCTACAGTGAAGAAAACAGTGAGGCTCTGACAGTGCTGCCACTTGTGAACTTGATCTAGTTCTTCAACAGTTGAAATCACTTTTTAGAATCAAGTCAGAAAACAAACAGGCCACAAGTACCTGCAAGCCCAACTAGGAGAAATAGTTTAATAATGCTAACACTCACCTCAATGGGCTTAGGGATGAGGAGTCCTCAGCCTAAATGAACTAGTCATATCAGTTGCAAAGCTGAATGAGTGAAGAGTGCAGAACAAATGCCCAAGCTGCCTCTAGCCCTTTGGGGAGGGTACTCATGGAAAGTACTTAGGTAGATGATATTCTCAGGAGGAAGGGGGGGAGCAGAAAGGAATAGGGCAAAGATATAATAAGAAGCAGTGTAGTATAGGAAGTTCTTTCCAAACACTGGGACAACAGAGGTAGACTACTCCCATCTTAGAATGTGCATATTAATAAGCTTTTCTACTCAGCAAAGCATAACTGAAAGCTGACTGGGAAAGCACTTTTCATCCATCTCACAATCTCCAGGTAATAGTCTACAGAGATAGTTCAGTAAATCTTGAAGTCAAATAGCTTAGCAGGACGATCAGAAAGCTCTGGTCAGTATTAATATCAGAAGTTGAAGAGGTTATTAAAGCCATGGAACAGGCATTAGGAATGATAGGGCAGACAATGGCCAGATTAACTAGGAAATTAGAAGTCTGATGTAGAGAAAAGGAAATGAAAATGGAGAAAGTGGTGTGCTGCTAAATGTTTAACACTTAATTTTGTGGGAAATGCTAATTTCCATGGTTTAAATATTCCAACCATGGACAAGTTCTAGCCACTAACATGTTAGCAAATACAGACTTAGAAAAGAGCTAGTGTGAACTGACTCCAGCATAGTACTGGTGATGACATGAGAGAACCAGACCTACAGCTCACTATGTTGCTCTAGTAAGTAACTTAGCCATTTGGGTCTCATTTTTTTCACCTGTAAAATGACAACCTCATAAGATTACTGAAAAGATCAAATGAAACTAATTTATCTCCATCTAAGAGGTCTTCTAGCTCTGACCATCTCTGGATTTGTGATGGATTTAGCTATATTGGTAGTTTCTTCTCTTTTCCCATTTTACACCAAATCTTGTGAGCCAGGAGAAGACAAGTAAATGTTAGAGAAAACTGCTTTACAGTGTGGTAATTACAGGAAAAATCACATCCTTCCTATACCTTAGGTATAAGAAGTTTAAGGCAGTGGCCGTCCCAGATTTTCTACAGAGGAGTGATTTCTGGGTAGAAATCTGCTTGTCTGCTTGTAAAGTGGGACTAGGTAATGTGTACACTTTTATTATGATTGTCATTTTTTGCCATGCTTGGGATGGAATCTAGGACCTCATGCATGTTAGACAAGCACTCTACAACTGAGCTACACCGCAGCTCCTATTCTTTTATTATTTTAATAATATATTTACTTGGGACAGCTTAGGAGTAAATGGTTCTCAAGTCTACTTCAATATGTTTTTGCTTTTTCTTCATACACTTCACCAAAATATGCCTGATAACAAAGAGTTCATAGTAAAACTGGGAGTACTCTTTCATTGATGTCCATTATGTCCATTTGGCAACATAAGTTACCCTCAACACTACTGGTGCTATGTCTCTGAATTGGAGAGACAGGCCACAACCTACCCAAGCCCAGAGTTATAATTTAGTTGTACAGTTACTTCAGAAGAGGTACTTGGGACCTTTGTACTTTTTTCTTTTGGAAGAGGTACCAGAATGTAACCAGAAGTTTTGAAAAGCAGGGTTGAGAGTAATGAATAAAAGAGACTAGAAGTTTGATCCCTGCTGGGATTCTCAGGACTTGAAGCTAATGGAATCAGATGAAAAGGAATTCTGACCTCTTCAATGTGCTGTTGAAGTAGAATGGAAGAGAAAACCTCCACCCAGCCATTCAAGAAACTTTGAGTGCAAAGGGATTTAGTAAGGTATAAGAGACATAATACCTTGTGCTTCCGGAGGCTGCCAGGACTGGTGGGCGTAGAGATGGGAGACTGCTTAGACTTGGGGGTAGAGAGCTGGCTGCTGGAGGTTCCGTTTGCTAGCCCAAGGCAAGAGAAAAGGAAGGGATAAAAATCAACAGCATACAAAGGAGCAAGTTATCCTATCCTTCTGAAGACACTAAGAACATTCAAACAAGCTACAAAGACAACCAAGTGATTTGATGAGCAGAACAAAGGTTCAAAGAAACACATTCCTCAAAAGGGCAAGAACTGCAGTCCTCAGTCAGATCCTCTAGAAGTGCAAAGCTCATCCTCCTACCCTTTCCCCAGAGTGCTTCCCAATCACATGCATCTGTTTCTTTTCAAGCCTTTTTATATTCATTCCCAGGTTTTGACCCTAACCTCTGGGAGGTAGTCTGGAAAAGTATTATTTTTCTTTAATTTTTAAGAGGATAAAAATGAGGTATGGGGATGTTGTATGCCTTACACTAATGGGGAAGAAATATGGGTGCTTTGGGTAAGGGCACATCCCATTTGATGGCAGATAAGGGTATAGGTTCAGGACAACCCCCCTGTTAATCTTGCTCCCTTCTTTTCCTGCTCACCATCTCTTCCTTTGCTTCCTTGTCCTGGGAGAAAAAAATAGAAAAGAAAAAAAAAGTAGGCTGGACGAGAAGAATGAAAAAGAAAGTGGAGAAGAAATAATGAAACATAAAGAAGGGCTTAAACAGAAAAAATGGGGTAGGGAAGAGAATAAGAGAGTAAATGGAGACAAGAAAGACAGGGTAAAGATTGTAAGAGTTGAGGGCAGGAAGAAAGGCATACAGACACAGAAAGGTAACAATGGTGGATACATCCCTATGTGTTTATAGTAAACAAAATGCTGAACATGAGATGGTTTAGTTTTTAGCATCTTCATATTTATTCCATTGTGTTTTCAAATTGTTTTATATTCCATTGTTAAGGAGCTTTTTGAAATCCAGTCAAAATAAAAGAGAAATGTGTTGCATTGAAATGGAACAATTAAACAGCTTTTAAACTGGATTCATGTTCTAAAGTATTTTTAAATCTTAAAACCCATATAGTTAAAGTGGAACATTCTGAAATCTACATCGAAAAGAAAGGCAAAATATGTAAAGGGTGCGTAGAGAGTGACACAGAGAGAAAGGGAGGGGGAAAGAAGAGAGAATAAATAGAAAATTGAAACACATAGGTATAAAGGTTGTCTAAGAATGTCACTGTTAGTCCCATAGATAAAGCTTAAACTGCTGTATAATGAGTATTTCCTGAGAATATACTTTTTCTGCATCACTTCTGGTAATGTTTCCCTAGCTTTTGGAACATTTAGATTAATGGTAGAAATGAAAGAGACAACAGTGTGGTGATTACTGAGTTTATCCAAGTGCAAGAGAGCTAAAACATGTAAAACATGGGCACTTAAGGTACACACTCTGTGGCTTTATGTGTATATTCATTTGTCTCTCACCCACTCATTGACAAGCTTTCCTCCCTGTCATTCATTCATTTAGCCAGTAGTGATGGAGCACTACATATAAGCCAAGCAGAATACTAGATATTGGGGCTTCAGAGATGAGTAAGTCACTTACTATGGGAAGGCATACAAGCATACAGCAGAGTAAGTGTGAACAGAGTTATGCTTAGGGTATCACTGGAGTCCAGAGGACAGACTTTGAAGTCAAGGTACTGGGAAACAAACAAGAAGAGATAACACTTAAGAAATCTTGAGAGATGAGTCTGAAATAGGCAAATCTATAGAGACCAAAAATAGATTAAAGGTTGCCAGGGACTGACTGGGTGGAAGAGGAGTTGCAGGGAGATAGGAAGTGTTGGCCAATGGAGATAAGGCTTCTTTGGGTGAGAAAAAGTTATTCTGACATTAAATTGTGATTGTTGCACAACTCTTTGGCTAAACTAAAACACTGAATTGTACAGTTTAAATGAGTGAATTATATGTTCAGTGAATTTACCTTAATAAAGCTGGTTTTTAAAAGGATGAATTCAATCTAGGTAAGCAAAGAGAATACAAAGGGTATTCTAAGCAGCACAGGCAAAGACATGAAAGTGTGGATGAATACAATGTGTTTATATAGAGTCCAAGTAACTCATAGTGGCTCAAGCATAGACAGGGAGTTCAAGGAGATGGAGACAGCATAAGTACACAGGAAGATTTTTTTTGTATGGCCTATTAAGAAGTTTGGGTTTGATTTCTGAAGGAGAGTCACAGAAAGGTTTTAAACTGAAAGTGATGCAATCAATTGCCTTATGAAACTATTACTCCAGCTGTTGTGGGAAGACTGGGGTAGGCTGGGCTGGGTTAAGGGTAGAAGCAAGGAAGCTGCTTAGAAGACATTACAGTAGTCCATAAGTGATAGTGCCTTTAACTATGACAATGTGGGAATATAGAGAAGGAATACAGTGATCAGAACATAGGGGCCAAATAAACTGAGAATGTTATGTTGACATACTATGTAAGCCACCCAAAAGAACAGGATGTGTGTCAGACATCACAGAGAATGTGTGAGCCAATGCCCAGGGCTTTCTGGTGAATGAAGGAGGCATTCTAGGAAAGGCAAAAGTCTGGGGGCCCACAACTACTCTTAATAGAAAATGAAGGAGTTAATAGTTGGAAGAGTTAACGGACCACTGACAGTGCTGGAGGACTTTCCCAGTAGGACTTGGCCAAGAACATTCAGGATAAGGAGAAATATTAGAGACCTGTGAAAGCAGACATAGTAGAGCTTTTCTGACCATAGCCTTGAGATCTAATAGATATGGCCATCCCTGGGTAAGTTTTGGCCCTTTGTTCCACAGGGGCACTATATCCTTCACTGATTCTAGTTCCCCAGCATTCGTTAGCCACACCACAGAAGGGTAGCTACTGTATTCCCAGTATTAAAACTGTTGTTTTTCTACACACTTATTTGATATTGAACCCACTGGCATTGCAAAACATGGAAAACTAGTAGCCACAAGCATGTCTGCATCTTAGTTTCAATGTGTTGGCTACAGATCTGAAAATATAGGCTCTTCTTCAGCTTCCAGATCTTTTCTGAATATTCTGTGAAACTCTTTTACCCCATAAAATTAGGGGTACTAATTTTCATATATGTCTTGCTCTATTCTCTGCATATATGTAAATGTGTATATATGCTCTTCATGCCCTACCCTACAGAATCAATTGTAAGCTATTTGTAAATAATGGACTGTATTTTGTCACCAACATTCAAGAAGTATTTTTGAAATCAGTTTTTGATAATTTAACTGCCCCATACTGCACTGTTGAAAAAATGCAGATACTTTTCCATACTTCCCCAGAGTTATGTAATGGAATGAAATCCAAAGATGGACATAGGGAAATGAGAAAACATAGGTATACATAGGAAAAAGTAGATTCCTTCCAACCTGAAGGCAGCCCTATATTTACAGCCTAGATAAAAATATATTTATATACACATTTTGTCCTTAGATTTTGGGAAAAATCTGGAAGGGTGCCATTAGACATGGATTCTGGATCTAATTCATATAAATGTCAAGTAAAAGAAGAAGCATGAATAATGCAAATGGGGTCTGATGAATTTTGTGTGCTCTTGGATTGGTAAGCCCATGTAGAAAGGCTGTCACACTTCATTTTGAGAGGAAATAGAAATGGTACCACTGTTTAATATTCTTTATTTTTCCTTTATTCTTACTTACTAAACATTCCTTAGTTCTCTGGTAATTTGGAAATGCCTTGGGAGGGGAGGTCTCCTTCCTCTTTGACATGTCTCTCATTTCCCAACTCAGAACCACAGTACTATCTCACTGTTCTCTCCTTTTATTTATACATAATCCAAATTCTCCCTTTCCTTTCTTTACTTTGTACAGCTAGTTTCCCCCTTTGCAACAAGGTATGCCAAAATCTTTTCAGTCTCCTAGTCTACTTTGTCAATATCATCAATAAAAATAAGGAAATACTATTAATTGTCTATGATGAGTCTCTCTCTCTCTCTCTCTCTCTCTCATTCTGTCTCCCTCTCTCCCTCCCTTCTACACACACACACACACACACTTTACACACTTGTTCCAGCTAGAGGTAGCAATGTCAGAAATCAAATGTAGGTTTTTGTGATTCCAAAATTATGTTTGCAATTTTGCTACATAAATCTTTCCTTTTAAAAATGAATTACTCCTAAGATTGTTTCCTTTGCCAGTTTTGCGGCATAGCCTAGGGATGAGCAGGAAAGTTGTGGCAAAGAAATGAGAAAGGAGTAAGAAGATAGAAGCAGATATCAGAGCTGACACCCATCTTCAAGGCTTCTATTCTCTTTGATCTGGTTTAGATTAGAAAGTGGTTAGCAAGAGCTTTTTTCATTCACCAATCTGGCTGGTAACTCACACAATGCCATAAAACAATAGAAGACAGAGAACCCAGGATGGCATATATTTAGCCATGGGGCTTTCTGGAAAGATGGTATCTGTGTCCTGTCTGTCACTTTCCCTTAGCTGATTCCCTTCAGCTATGGTAGTCCCTTGCCAAGATTGGCCCTGCACTTTCTTGACTCAATGGCTTTTCTGAATAATTATGTCTGTCCTTGCCCCAATACTCATCTTTAGTTTCTTAGCTCTGTCAGCCCTTCTTGTCAGAATTGAACAGGACAAGCCCAAACAGGAGCCCTGGTAAGACAAATAGGCAGAGTACCATCCTAATTCCAATATTTGAGCTCAACTCAAAATTAATCATTTGATTTGATGTCTTTTCTATGATATTGCTCACCGAAAATAACTCCAGCCTACTAAAAATCTGTAATAATTTCATAACTCCCTTAATCATTGCAATTGTATTTCTAGTTATTTTGAAAACATTTTTACAAAACAGAAACTCATATGATTTTTTAAAATAATCCTAAAAAATGGTGGTCAGGTATTATTAGTGTTCTTTTAACCAACAAAGATATAGAGGTTCATAGAGGGTACAAGTTGCTTCCAGAATACAAACTCTACCTCTCTTCCATGGATGGTGGCTTCTAGGATTTGCTCGTAGAATCCATTTTAAGATTCCCTAGGGATTAGCATATCACATACCTCCCTCTGTGATCTT